GAGGCTGCTGTGGTGCATGATCAAGACCTGGAGCAAGCGGGAAGCTCAAGCAGCGCTCCCCATTTTGCGACTAAGCATAGCCTAAACCTTTGCAGTCGATGTGCTCTGATTTCTTTTTCGACGTCAAAGAATGAGCAACTTGCTTGCTCTAGCATTTCCTTGCCTGACTAGATCTTTCGAATTTCATGCCAGCATGGTGTGAAGACTCCCCTGTCTACAAGTGGAGAGTCACTCTCTCGCTCGAACACCGTGTACAAGCCATCGAGACCGAGCGTTCTACAGCGAGGTCAAGGAACATCCAATATCTCGTCGTGACGTGAAATACAAACAGGTGGGTCCTGGAAACATTCGTGATGACAAGAAACTTTGAACAGCAGCAGGGACGTCAGGCAAGAGCAATGCTTGCAATGCTGTCGTCCTGAGCTGGACAATCTACCACTCCTTGAAGAACTTGATCGTCTTCTGTTTCATGGTCAGATTGCCAACCTCCTCGTCCTCCTTCTCGTCGAGGTGATCGTAGGATTGAGCAGCTGCAAAGTCTACCTCTTCAGGCTTGACCACCTTGGTCTTGCAGACGAACTTGTAGCCGAACCAGAGGACGAAGAAGATCGGCAAAGCGATGTAGTGGGTGATGAAAGTCTTGTACTCGAACTTTCCAATGAATGCTGCGAAGCCCTTGAAGAAGAGCACGATGGACACCCAAATGAGAGCGGCCCAAGATGTGTATGGCGCGAATGGCGCTCGGTAGGGCAAAATATCTCGGGAAATGCCTTGAGCCTTGAGGCCTCTCATGAAGGCGATGTGAGAGTAGAGGATGTTGCACCACGCGACACCGCCGCAAATTGTGACGGTGTCCTTGAGGTACCCGAATGCAGTATTTCCACCGGTATTCACACTCATGTACGCGATAGCACCGATGATTGAGGAGAAGCCAAGAGCCATGTAAGGCACTCCGCGCTTGTTGCACTTCAGGAAGATGCGGGGCGCATTGCCGTCCTCTCTGCGGACGACGGGTGAGATCGGCAAGGGAGGCGTCAGTATACAGATGTGACGTGACAGCCGGCAAGCCAAGAAGGCACGAGCTGCAGAACTCACGCGATGGCGTAGAGGGTTCTAGCAGCGATGTACAGATCGGAGTTGCAGGCCGACAGGACAAAGATAAGCAAGCAAGCATTCACGAGGCTCGGCAGCGCCTTGATCTGGGCGTCGACAACTGCGATGACGAATGGACTGGCTGCTGCTGTGCCCTTTGCAACACCTTTGCCGAGGAGTCGAGGGTCGTCGGAAGGGACGATGAGACCGATCATCGTCGTGCCGATCCAGTAGAAGAAGAGGATACGGTAGAAAGTCTTCTTGATCGCCGAAGGCAGAGCTTTCCTGGGGTTGGCTGTCTCACCGACGCAGACACCAATCAGCTCGCTACCCATGAAGGCGAAGAGACCAGTAGTCATACAGCTCCAAACGCCGAGGAAGCGACCCAGGGCACCCTCCGCCTTGTATTCGCGGAACGCTCTTCCATCTCTCCAGTTGCGACCGCCAATGAAGTCTCCAGTTGGACCACCTCCAAGATCGAGGATGAGCGCGAGGAGAATTAATCCCGTCAAAACGATGATCTTGATGAACGAAAGCCAGAATTCTATCTCGCCAAACCAAGCTACGCCTGCATAGTTGAGGAACACGCATACGACTAGGTAGACGCTGATGATGACTGCGGGATTGAGCGGTGTCCAGAACGTAATCAGGAGCGCGGCGGCGCTAAGCTGGGTGGGAAAGATGATCAGGTCTGCGTTATGGGAGGAGCAATTGTCAGCAAAGAAAAGTTCGTGAGCTCTAGTGACCCTGCTTCACGCTGCTCACATTTGAAGAGGTAGTTGTATCCGGTACTATGGGCACACGGTGCAGCGAAACACAAGGTAAGTCGAATGACCTTCGAGCTCAGAGGACTCGGCAATGTCCCGCTCGACAACCAACACTCACGCAAATCCAAATTCGGGGCTGACGAAGCGTGTGGCATGACCAGGAAATCCGCGCTTGTGAGGAATGTATGCGCTCATCTCCGCGAGAGCGCAAAGCGTGGCGAAGCAGCACAAACCCATGACGACGTATCCGATGAGGACACCAGCGGGACCACCTTGACCCAAGGCAGAACCAGTACCGATGATGAGACCAGTGCCGATCGCACCGCCGATGGCAATCATGGAGACCTGCCTCGGCTTGAGGGCCCGATGCAAGTCGCCATTGTCCTCGGATTGAGCAGCAGCGGCATCGCGATCTGAGACGCTTTCTTTGACCGAGACGTCGTATGGAACCTTTTCCTCGGATGGCTTGGACGCCACCGACTCAGCACGAGTGACCGCATCAGCCATCGTGACGAAGGCTCTTGCGCGAAGTGGCTCTAGGGTTCCAGTCTTGAGGCTGTAAAAGAGATTCCGAGAGGAGAGGAAGAGCCAACTGAGTTAAGTCAGAGGCTGGGTGAATCGGACGAATGGATGGTGGTCGGGTTGTCAGATGGATGCACTTTGGCGCTCCAGGTCGAGGTATGCCTTCATCTGAAGAAGGGCCCGAGGTAGGATGGAATGCAGGAACGGGCTGGTCTTCTTAAAGCGTTAGAAGTCGACCGCCCTACAAGTACCTCAGTCGTATGTGCACGCCACGCACGCCCTTCGACGCCTTCACTCAACTGTACGAAAACTCAGCTTGGCTCTGACGCCCGCGTAGCGCGTACTCTGTAGATGCAGCTAGGAGGATTTACCCCACCGGAAGTGACCGCGCGAACGGTACCTGGTACATCGCGTGCGACAAGCTTGACGCATGCCAAGCCTCGAGAGCTTATCAGCAGAACTCTCATATCATAAGACGACGCAGCAAGCTGAGACGAGGAAGGGCCTACATTGGTGGCCCGACATGGTCGGTGAGTCTTGAGGGTCAA